TAGGCAGGGAGGGCCAGGAAGCCTGGAGAAGTGATAGACCCAGCCAGAAGCCAATCACAGGGCTCTGAAGGCCAGAAGAGCACAGCATCCAGCCCCTCCCTCTGACCCCACCCTGGAGCCAGGCAGGACAGATGGGTACCCCTTGTCCTAATTGGTCACAGCCATAGAGCAAGTAGAAAGGAAGGAAGCACACCGCCAGCCTCTCCTAGCTGCCTTGTGACTTCCAACCTTCCCCCGGCCCATCTCTACCACACCAGCCACTTGGGAGAGTCATTTCATTTCTCAAATTAAAAATCCATTTTGTGCTGTGAATAATGGATGGATGAGCCGGGGGAGGTTGGGAGGAGGGCAGGAAGCTGACTGAGGCTCCAAAGACAGCACGGCACTGCTAGAGGCTGGGGCTTGTTAGCCGGCCAGGGTGGAGGCCACAGTGGGTCTCAGAGGCAACTCCTGTGCTCTGGCACGTGGCAGGGGCCTGGGGATCTGGTCTACCCTGTGCAGACTGAAGTACTGCTGAGATGGGTCTGCCCAGGGCCAGGCTCCAGGCTGGGTGGCCTGGCTTCACGCTGCGACCTTCTTTGGGGGTACATCACATGGCACCCTCACTGGGTGAATGCTCCAGAGATCAGATCTGAGTCCTTGCGTGTCCGCTTTCCCCCAAAGAGGGCTGGGAGCCAGGCTACTGAGTCTCCAGCGGTGGCGGGGATCTGCCCTTCGCCCAACTCCCAAACCACTTCCTTGCACTCCCCTTCTCCCGGGCCTCCTCTCTCCGCTGCAGCCCGGACTGCTGCCCATGTCCTCCTCACTGACTCAGGCCTTGGCTGGGCTTAGCTGTGTCCTGTCGTGTTTTTCTTGCTCATCACTCTTGAGGTCACCTTGGAATGTGTGGGAGGAGCTCTGCACATCTCAAATTGAAAATGAGGGAATTAGGGGTTAGACTGCAGCAACCCCACTCGCTTGTATCTTCTCCGTACTTCCCTTTTCTGAGAAGAGGCAGGAGAGGGAAAGATGTGGCCCTCCGGCCTTCTCTTTATGAGCAGGCTGACCAGGACTGAGTGGTCAGCGGGCCTCATCACAGGCCAACTCCCAGTGGGTCTGGCTGCTGAGCTCAGGGTTGGGGTCAGGCAGAGCTGCCCAGCCCGGCCAGATGAATGGATCAATGAAAGGCATTGTGGGAGACATGACCAGAAAGGGGATCTCAGTGCTGACCTGGGAGGCAGGGGGAGGGGCTGAGAGCTTGGGTCCCTCATCCTCCTGTGGCTGGAGCCCAAAGTCCCTAGGGATGGGTGGGTGGGTGGGAAGCACGTTTGCTCTGGTGTCTTGCTGTGGGAGAAGAGTCAGTTTCCTGAGACAATATCCATTTTTATATTTCTTGGAAAATTCGTGGCATTCATTTCAGGGAAAATAAAAGCTGTCATTGCTGGAGAAATGATACCAATCAGGGTCTGAAAAGGCTGGAAAATTATCCTCCCAGAGACGAACGTGGAGGGGAAAATGCAGATTAAAAGCACAAAGAGCCACTCTGCCACCGCCCTGCCCTCCCTCCCCCTCTCCCTCACAGAACCACGTTTTTGCATAACTCCATCTCTCTGTAGAATTCACTGGACCTGAGAGAATGCACAGGGCAGAGGAGGACCCTGGAATGGCCAGAGCTAGAGGCAGGATGGCCAGAAATAGACAGCGGTGGCCACCAGGGCTAGAGGTCTGGGGGGTCGGTTGGAGAGAGCCCCAAAGGAGGACAGCAAGATGGCAAGCCGGTCCCTGGAGTCCCCACCAGACATGACATTGCTTAGGAAGTGCTGGTGCCCCGTGGGGACGGGTAGGGCAGGGCAGAGACAGAATTCATCCGGGAAGCCCCAACTTCTCAGTGTCAAAAGTGTCCTGGCCCTGTGGGGAGGCGGGCAACAATACGACTCTTAAGGCAGGAGGGGGCTTCTTCCGTTTAAAAACCAAGTCCAGAAGGAAGAAGGGAGCGGGTGCAGAACTTCACCCCACACAGCCTGCTCCCGGGACTCCCGCACAAAGGACCAGGCAGGCGGCTTCCTCCCTCTGGTGAGGAGCTCCAGGCCTTTCCTCCTACCTGGGACAGGGACCAGCCAAGCTCGGGGAGGCAGCAGCCTCAGCCTCTTCTCGCAGCCTCCCCACCGGGGCTGGGTAAAGGGCTCTTGGGCAACCAGACATGAGCCGATGTGGGCAGGGGTTAAAAGGAGGACAAGGAAGTCTGCCGCGGAAGGTCTCTTGGCGCCGGGCAGCGCTCCGGGCAGATGCACGCGTTCCGTCTCTGTCTCCCCACGGCCTGGGGCCGAGCTCTAGTTTGCTGCGCTTGTCCGGGACGGCCCACGAGCGTCTGGATTTCCAGCTTCAACCCCTTTAAAGCCAGCAGGCTGGCAGGCAGCTCGGGGTCCCGCGTGGAGAAGAAGGAGCCGCAGCCGGCCGGGCGCACTCCCGCGCACTCCTCGCGGGACAGAGCCAGACTCCCAGTCCCCGGAGCCCGAGGCCGGTGGCACGACGCTCCGGAGCGCGTCTCCGCGGCCGCCATCCCCATCTCCGCGCTGCCGCCGCCGAGCTGAC